TGGCAGTCGAGGGGCAAATTCTGTAAACGCTTTTAAAAATCAGAGGCCAGATGTGGTTATCTGAGCCTTTTTCATTAAAGGGGTAAATAATGAAAGTGCTTTAAAAATCTTTTTTTTTTTGTCGCTTCCTCAGTAGCATTCAGCATAATCCAAGCGTTTCAGCGTGGCTCTCCAGAGGGCCTGCATTCAGGGACGCAGGGGAGCTGTGCCCGGCCCGCTGCCTGGGGGCTCCGCCGGGGGCAGGCGGGGCCCGGGCACGGGCTGAGGGAGCCTCTGCACGGGTGCGGCTCTTCCCCTCTGCTGTTCTGCGCGGCCAGATGCTTGTGCTCTTCCCTTTCCCTTCTCTGGCTTCAGAGCGTCCCTCACTTGCTGTCTCTCAGGCTTCCCGCACACAGATCTGAGAAGAGCGGAGCCAAGAGGTGGGAGTCACACGCCTCCTCTTGAAGGTGTCCAGGCACCTGAGCTTGACATTTAGTCAGGTGGGTCCTGATTTGCTTCACCTGGTCGCAGGTGATCCGAGGTGCCTGTCGCTCTTCTGCAGAACAGGTGTCGCTGTTGCCATAGGAAAACTGCGTCATTGGGCCGATGAGGTCGAGTCTCTTTAAGCTCATGGGGCCGCAGCGTGGCTGTGTGTGGCAGGTGTACTTTTTATACGGAAACAGATTCGTGCCGCCTTTCAGTGGTGGTGAGACCTTGTATGTGTTTGTAGGGAGATCTTCAGAGGCCGGGAGGTGAGGTTTTCGGGCAAGAATCGGAAAAGGAAAGGCTCCCGGCCACTGGTGCAGTCTTGTGCACCTGTGTCCCCCGTACCTTGAGTGCTTGTCGGGAAGGTCAGCCTGTGGGTGCTCGGGAACCGGGCGCTTTGCAGTGGCCCATTCCGAGCGGATAGGATCGGTGCTGGACTTCACCTGGGACCTCACATCCTGAACCTGGAGCGGGGAAGATTCTCTAAGCAAAAAGCCGTGGAAGAAAAACTGAGAACACAGTGGCCTGCGTACAGCTTTACGCTTCCGTGGCTCGAAGGGAAATAGAGAATAAAACCAAACACACGGGAGGAATTATTGTGATAAGTGGACCAAAGGTCAACAGGCCTAATGTATCAGCTTCTTACACAGATTGGTTCAAGTAAAAATTTTTTGGATGAAGATCCTAATAAGTAGGGGTGCCTGGTTGGCTCAGTTGGTTCAGCATCTGCCTTTGGCGAAGGTCATGATCTCGGTGTCCTGGGACCAAGCCCCGCATGGGGCTCCCTGCTCTGCAGGAAGCCTGCTTCTGCCTCTCCTCCCACCCCCTCTCATGCTCGCGCTCTCTCTCTCTCAAATAAAGTCTTTAAAAAACATCCTAATAAGTAAAGTGGACCTACAGCATATACACGTAATGCACGAGAGGCAGTAGGAATGCGGTGGGGATTTTTGTTTCTTAATCAAAGCCAAAAAGGAACTATCTCCTTTTACCTTTCAGATCAGTGTAAGCATTTTGGTTCCTTCAAATTATGTGGTGTGATGGGAAGTCTTACGTGTGGTTGGTAGGGAGTGTAAAGTTCATATGACTTTTCACAAGAACTATTTGGCTTTAAATTTTTATTCCCTTTCATCCTGGTTTGAGGTATTTCTTCGGGTCGTGTTTTCATTTACGCATAGAGCGATTATTTCCTGGTGCTCAGTGTGTGCAGGACTACTCGCCACAGCTGAGGCGGGTAATGACCAGTCCGTCCCTCTGGGGGCTTCCGGTGTGACAGAGGGAAGCACTACTTTAAAAGTCAGTACCCACGTAGGGGCACACGTTCATTTACTACGTGTCACAAAGTATTATGTAGGAAACAGACTTCAGTGATGGAGAATAAACGAGTCCCACAAGTGGGGTTTTGGGGCCTGAGATGTATGCCGTTGGGTGTTCATTGCAAAGATTATTTGTAAGAACAGTGACTGAGAAACCACTTTTCCATTTGTGCAGGATACAGACCTGCAGGCAGAATAGCAGAGTAGCATGTTATCATAATTCTACCCGTTCCCTCGGCCCTTTTTTTTACAGTTCTCTCGGCTGGCTTGTTTTCCCCTAATGCTTAAAAAAAAAGTTAATATCTAGAGATCATGGACATATTTCTTTTTCTTTTAGCTTAATAAGCACTTTCTACATTGTCACACTCTAAAATAACTATCTGCCTGCCCTTTTTAAGAATGTATTGTGATTTATTTTCCCCATCTTGGGGGCGTCTAAGTTATAAGTGATAAAAGGAAGCTAATTTAAAGTAAATACATGATCTCAGCTGTGCAGTAACAGTACACATAGAAAAATGCATTTGCAGGAAAATATGGGTGTTTTTCGCTTATGAGTTACTTTAGAAGCAGAGAGGGTCCGCCCCTTTGGGTCAGCCGTGTCTCTGCTGCAGCCCTCCCCTCACTTTCAGAAGTAGCCCTCCCTCTCCCTTTGGTCCCGAGAGAAGAGCCCCGGGCCGGCAGCGGGCACTGTGGGCGGAAAGCCGCGTGCTGCCCGGGCTGCGCTTGCTCCCAGGGAGTGGGCCACTCACGCAAGTTCCTGGAGGCAGAAGCCTGCCGGGGTCAGGCACCCCCAGCAGGACGGGGCTTGCTGCCAGCGGGAACTCATGTGCCTGGGCTCTAAAGGGCAGCCTGTTCAGGTCCCAGCAATTAAGGCCTCGAGGGCGTGGGTTTAGTATTAATGGATCTTTTGAATTTGGGGGAGAAAGCAAGATATCTCAATTTTTAGTATGAAAGGTGTTCCTGACTTTTTATGGTTAGTGGCTAATTCAACTTTAAAACTAGAACTCTGGGCACAACACACCACAACTGCAGGTAGAATGGGGTCCACAGTCCGATCTACACAACTAAACAGTCACGTGTAGAGGAGGGAGGGAGGCTGCTGACTGCTGACACTCCAGGAAGGGGTGCGGGGAACTGGTGGAAATCAGCCACGGAAACCCCAGGTGGGGAAGAAAGGGGGGCAGGCTAATGGAACAAATGGGGACTCCTTTCTGCCTCTTGGTTGTGTGCTCGGGAGGGTTATTGACGCCATTGCCCCAGCCCCCCTGGGCCGCATCCGCCACATGATTCTGTTCCTGCAGATCCCTTTTCACTCCCTTCTCAAGAAGGAGATCCCCCAAGGGAAGGCTCTACCCAAATCTCCCCCAGCGTGGGGCTTCCCTGGGGGCCTCCTCCTGCAGAGCCTGGAGGCCTCCCTGCAGTGATGGCGACAAACAAGCTCCTTTTCTTCCAAGGCAGTCCCAGCGAGGTGCTAACAGCCCCCCTTCTCTTGTTCATAGGACTTCCCTGTGGCCCTGATCACAGGCTGTGTGGGCCAGAGGGTGGGGGCGGGGGTTCTCTTCAGCTGTGACATCTTACCAGGTCCCTCCTAGGAAAGGAGGTGTCTTCAGTGTGTGCAGTGGGTTTGGGGGGTGAGAACCACAGTAAATAACCAAGCTAAGGCAGCCCCTGGGGGGCCAGCCCGTGTCCAGTGGCTCTCCTGTGTGTAGGGAGGTGCTGGGAAGAACTTGGCAAGTTTTAAGAAGAGCACTTCCGTGTCTTGTGCTGAGAATGTGTTGTAGAAAAGAGATTCTGGGTACAGTAGGTCTGTGGCTGTTCCTCTTCCGGGCAGGATAGGCTTTCGAGGCCTCCCTGGGGTCAGCACGTCGTCGTGCTCACGGCTCACGCTTATCCCAGCAGGCTGATAGGGCTGCGTGGCCGATGGTAAGGGACAGACCTGGGCAGTGTCAGCAGAAATTGTGCACTCTCCCTCCGTGAAAGGGCACAGAGACCCACTGTGTCCTCAAGACACATGCATTCATGTGTGTGTGAGGTTTCTCCCAGGGAAGCTAGTTAGAAACACAGAGATGTGTCCTGGAGACAGTGTGCATCAGGACGGGTCGCGCTCGTCCAGGAAAGCGCAGCCCGCAGCTGTAGCCCCTCTGGTTGACTGTCGGGTACCCAGCCCTGTGCTCCGCTCCCTTAGCCGTCGCCCTGAATTCTCATCTCCTCCCGGCCGTGCTGGGACTTCCGTTTACTTCCCATTTAACAGATGCGGTAACTGAGGCCCAGAGAATGCATGGGTGTGTCCGGGCTTTGGGACCCACAGGAGGGGGAAGAGCCCAGAACAGAACAGACGCTGGCCCCAATCCTTCCCTCAGCGGGGTGGGCTCCCCAGGCGGGCCTTTGAAAATGCAGGACCCCCACCCCGCCCCCACCCCCATGGGAACAAGAGTGGGCAGGGGCCCAGGAGAGAGCTGAAGGAAGCCCCTGCCTCCACACAGGTCCTTCCACTGTCCTGCTGGGATGGAGCCCAGTTCCCCCAGTTGGCCATCTTCCCGGACGCTGGAGCAGGGGCTCTCAAAGCAGGGTTCCCCCACAAGCAGCGTCCACATCACCTGAGAACGCCCTAGAGATGCGCGTGACGGGGCCTCACCCCGGAGCTCCTGAATCGGACACCGGCCGAGGGTCCCCTCGCTCTCGGAGACCCTGACGCCAGGTCAGGCTGGCGAACGTCTGCTCTGTCTGGGACGGAGGCTCAGCCCGGGGCCAGCGGGGTGTGGCGGGCACAGCACAGGCTCTAGGGGAGTGATCCTCCCGAGGCGAACCAGCAGCAAGTGCTCACAGATAGGCCGGTCCCTGGTGCAGACGTGCCCTGCGTGCCCAGCAGCTGCCGCGGCGGCTGTGAACAGGGCCCTTCTCCCGCCGCCTGGAGGTCGGGGCCGCGGGGCACACCTGGATGGAAAGAAGCCTGATGCCGTTAGGAAATGGTGGGTTCCCTCCAGGTTCGCAGCCACCAGTGTGGGGCTAGCCTCACAGAGCCCCTCTCGGGCCTGCCATGCTGCCTGCGTACACAGAACTGGCCAGAGCAGGGCTCGCTCTCAAGCTGGCTCAGCCGAGACCCGGGCAGGAAGTTCCCGAGGGTTCGCAGAGCTGTGGTTGGGCTCGGGGAGCATCTGGGGGGCGTAGCTGAGCGGCCCTCCACGTGCTCATGGAGTCTCTCCTGTGTTCTGTCCTCTCCAGTGTGGGGCCGCCTTCCAGGATGACGATGTCATCGTGCTCAACGGCACCAAGGAGGATGTGGAAACGCTGAAGGGGAGGATGGAGGAGAGGAGGCTGAGGGCAAAGCTGGAGAAGGTAACGGAGCCCTGGGGTCCACCCCCGTCCCCAGAGTCTTCAGCTGCCACCTGCCGCCTCTGCTGTGGGGCCGTGGCAGACCCCGGGACTGCACCGCGGGGGCTGGCTTTTGGACGCGCAGTGATGGAGGCGCTTGTATGGCCTTGACCGGCCTGGGCTCACTGTGGGGGGCATGACGGTTCTGCCCTCCTTCACTCAGTTGCTGCATCTGTGACATGGGGCTGGTGACAGCACCTGCGTGGGGCGGGGTGCTCAGGAGGGTCACCAAGATCAGGCCCGGTTGCAGCCCGGTGGGGAAGGGGTGCAGCCGCCACCCCCACTGTGCTGTGCCGGCTTTAAGAGTGTGGGTGTGTAAGACTCGGACGGTAGAGTGGACAGCACATCCGGAGAGCCTGTCCGTCCAGGTCTGAATGTCCTGCGAATCCCCTGGAGATCTGGGGGGCCTGGGAGCCTGCGACCCCCACCCACTGCTGAAGCACCTCAGGTAGTGTGGGGCTGAGCAGCCTTCCCACGCCTGGGGGCCGCCCCCGGCCTTCCTGAGCCCTGCCCGGCCTCTAGTTGCGAGGGCTGCCTCTGCTCTTTGAAGGGAGACCAGTGCTGGGGACCCATGGCCACAACTAAAGCTCTGTGTGGACACAGACATGGTGGGAGGGCTTTGTTCTGTGGCCCTGGGCCTAGGATCCTGTTCCATAAGCGGTGGATTCATTGCCTCCTGACTTGGCCTAAGGACCAGGCTCAAAACAGTTTATTAGCTAAGAAGTCCTTCTGTGTGCCATCCGTTACAGATCCAGCAGCAAATTTTGTTGTTTCTTAAATATTTACAAATGATTCCTGTGATTTTTGTGAACAGCAAGTTTTTCATTCTTCAAACAAAACAAGTTAGGGCACCTGTCTGGCTCAGTCCAGAGAGCACGGAACTCTAGATCTCCAGGTTGTGAGTTCCAGCCCCATGATGGGTGTAGAGATTGTTAAAAGATAATAAATTTTTTTAAATAATCACAATTTTAAATTATAAGATTAAAAATACAGAAGAAGTTAGGTTCAGGGCAAATGTGGCAGAAATTTTGTGATTAGAACTAAGAGGAATGTTTTGAAGCATTACGAAATGCGTTTCAGTGTCCTGAGGACGATAAAGTAGTGGGGAAAATTGCCTGCCTCTGTGGGGCATCCATGTATCAGTGATGTAATCATCAAAGTTTTTCGGAGTTGTGTTTTTCTGATCATCACAGAGGAAAGAACAGGACCCTACACCCCCCGGAATGTAAGTGCACTCATTCTGTTGGCTTTGTGTGATTTTGTTATCGTATGAGCAAAAAAGAAAAAAGCTTGAGAGAGTTTTGACAGTTATCAAAAAGGATCTGCTGGTTCATCCTTGCTGTCATTGACCGAGCTCCGTTTTTAAAAAGCGCGAAAGGGGAAGAAAAGTGTTTCTGAGGCTCCTGGCGTTTGTGTCGTCATTAGCGAGCCGCTGCAGGGAGCGGACTCCCGTCCCAGAGTTCCCGCTGAGGTGTTGAAAGCCCAGTGGAGCCGGCACACCCCTCTCCGCAGCTTCTGGGAATGCCTCTTAGATACTGCTACCAGGATACCAAAGTATTTCCCAAATATACTCTCAGCCGAGGACAGGACATGGCATTTCTTCTCCGACTTCTTACTGCTCTTGCTTTTAGAAGCCTCAGCTGTCAGTGAAAGGCTCCAAAACCCCGTTGTCTTTCCTTGAGGACTGGGTATCATCCTCACGGATTTGAATGTGGGCCTTGCACGTGTGAAGCAAACGGGAAGTTTCTATGTTGTGTAGAAGCGTTACAAGTCATTCTGCCTCTCTGTATTACAGGTTCAAGGTGTGTTCCCCTGGCTTCTAGTGCCCGCAGCCTTCGGTCACAATTAGGCCGTGTGTCTTTAGCGCCACCTTTTGGATACTTAGGAAAGTGCACGTTAAAGTAAATTCTCTGAATAAACATCCTTCTGTTCCTGCTCTGAATCCGTTCTGACACAGCTGTGTGATCTTAGAATGGTTAGTTTCGGTTCTTAAATTTTTGCTGACCAATGTCATTATTCTGAGTGACAGAATTCTAGTGCCTAGAAGTCTTTTTTTTTTTTTTTAAAGATTTTATTTATTTATTTGACAGAGAGATCACAAGCAGGCAGAGAGGCAGGCAGAGAGAGAGGAGGAAGCAGGCTCCCCTAGACAGCAGAGAGCCCGATGCGGGGCTCGATCCCAGGACTCTGAGATCATGACCTGAGCCGAAGGCAGCGGCTTAACCCACTGAGCCACCCAGGCGCCCCTAGTGCCTAGAAGTCTTAACAGGAGTAATCCAGAGTTTAGGAGGATGGGCTCACGTGCCCTTTAGCATAGTGTCAGGTCTTTGTTTGTTCTCAGTAATCTCTACACCCAGCGTGGGGTTCGAACCCCTGACCCCATGATCAACAGCGGCGTGCTCTTAGACTGAGCCAGCCAAGTGTCCCTGGCCTCAAGTCTCTGTGGTGAGATAAACAAGTTTCAGAGCAGCTCGGCTGCTCTGAACATGAGAGGCCGGTGTGGGTGAGGCTTGGTGCATCTTAGACGGGCCGGCCCGCGGCGCCCATCCATAACCTCGCGGCTCCTGGACCCGCTCTTTCGTGTGCGGTAGTCACCGCTGATGCAGGTACCACTGAAATCTGGCGCCTTCGTTTAAGATTTTTGAGAATGCGGTTTTTGGAATATAAGTAGAGAACCATGCAGATCTCTTCAGCTGTATTCCTGAGGGAGCAGAAGCGCGAAACTGGAAACACATGCCCAGGGGCGGGGTTCAGGACTCGTGCGGTCAGAGTCGGCTCCAGAACGAGCACCTCCCTCACACGGACCGCGTCGGCCTGGTGGCGGGTCCAGGGCGGCGGCAGCAGCCACGTTTCCGCTGAAGTAGAGTTCAAGCACATCTCGGGTTTGCTCTTTCTCTTTACAGAAAGCAAAGAAACCCAAGGCGGCAGAGTCTGCCTCAAAGCCAGGTGTCAGTGAAGGTAAGAAACTAAAAGAGGGCCATATTTCAGCAAAAATAAGGCTGTGGAGCTGTTTCTTTCAAAAATTCATGCATTTGGGGTGCCTGGGTGGCTCAGTGGGTTGAAGCCTCTGCCTTCGGCTCAGGTCGTGATCCCAGGTCCTGGGATCGGGCCCTGCATCAGGCTCTCTGCTCAGCCAGCAGCCTGCTTCCCCCTGTCTCTCTGCCTGCCTCTCTGCCTGCTTGTGATCTCTGTCAAATAAATTAAAAATCTTAAAAAAAAAAGAATTCATGCTTTTGCTTTGTTTTTGTCTGCCTTACTTTTGTTATTTTTTAAACAGAATTTCCAGGGCCATCAAAAATTAAGACAGGGAAGCCTGAAGAAGCCAGCCTTGATTCTAGAGAGAAGAAAGCCAGCTCAGCTCCCCGGAGTGCAGGTGGGTCCTGCTGAGACTACAGGGGCTGTTGGGAGGGCTGCCGACCCAGGAGCTGATGTCCCAGTTCCACCGGAGCGAATCTGAAAGCACGAGCTGATCCTAAGTCATGTTTCTTAGTAGTCCCTGAGCTCTCTGGGAGGCTGAGACACAGCCGCTCCACCCCAAAGCCTGGTTGAAGGAGTCTGGCTACCGATGCTACTTGTTCTCCTGTTGAGTCCGCCTCTGGCACCAGGCTAGCCAGGCTGCCCAGGGAGCCAGACTCAGACGTACCACGAAACTGGTTAGTGGCCCGAGGCTCGGGGCAATGGGCGGGAACGTCCCTGATAAGGCTGGGGTTTCACGTGCACCACACGTGGCACTCCACCAGCCTTCCCTTTACCTGCCTCTGGCCAAGTGTCAGAGGGACATTTGACGCATAGCCCAGAAGTCAGTGCATTTCTCCTGCCACCTTTATCTTAAAGGAAAGATAGATTTCACAAGAAGGCAACACAGATTTATTGTTAGGTGAAAGAAGGTGTAATCCTGTGTCGTGAGTGGCACCCGCCACGGTTAATGGGTTCCAGCCTCCACCCTGCACAGCGTGGCCACTGGCCTGGCCGTAGGTGACCGGGCCTCCTGGAACTTGCGCACCTGCCACTGTGAGGCAGGCTGGTGGCACTTCTCCCGAAAGCGAGCTGATCTACAGCTTTTGCAGGGCTGGCACCAGAGCGCAGAGGACAGCGAACAGTCACTGGTGTGGTTTTCAGTGATAGACTTCGGTGCAGGAGCCTCATCTGTTTCTAGGAGTTGGCAGTTGAGATGATGTACTTTCTCATTTACCCCGAGAAAGGAAGAGGGAGATTCCTGAGATTAACAGACTTTTTTTTTCCCTTTTTAAGAACGCGATATGTGGAGTGAGGTGTAGGCCCAACATTAATGTATTTGGCTTTTCATTCTTCAACAGCAAACGGGAGCTCTTCTGGAAAAGTCGGGAAGCCTCTGGGTGGACCCCCAAAGCGGTCCATTGCGGACAGCGAAGAGTCGGAAGCTTATAAGTCCCTTTTCACGACTCACAGCTCCGCCAAGCGCTCCAAGGAGGAGTCCGCCCACTGGGTCACCCACACGTCCTACTGCTTCTGAAGCACGTGCTGCACCCCGTGCCACACAGGCCCGTCCAGTTTCCACCAGGGCAGGTGGCCGGGGCATGCCTGTGCCCTGTCCTCTGCTGGCTCCGTTTGCGCCGAGCTATAAAGTCGTCCTCCCAACCCCCAGAGCTGGCGTGGTCTCCCCTGCTTGTGACATGTGTGGGTTCCCGTGGTGACGTGCTGGGCCCTGCCCGCCCCCTCCTGCAGGCTCATGCCCTCCCTGTGGCCTGGAAAGAGGCATTCGCTGTACCTTTTATGGCTGAAATAAAGACTCCAGATTCCTTGGGGTGTGGGGGTGGCCCATTTTGCCTAAAATTCTAATGATTTTGCTGCCGGTAGTGAAACAGACCAGGTAGAATTGGACTTTAGAACATGAGCTTTCCATGCACCCCGCTGGCGTGTCCATTGGCAGGCACCCCTCTGCGCCCCCCCAGCAGAGCTGCGGCCTTCCCGGTCGCGTCTTGAGGGAGGTTCCTTTATTTTTATCACTTTCAAGTTGAAAGCCTTTTAGTTGGGTACCTGAGGGTTTGATATAAAAATAAAGCAAGTCTGCCTTTTCTCTCATCTGTATTTTTCTCTCTTCCATGTTTAAGAAAATGACAGCCTCTCCACTGATGGCGATCAGCATTTCCACATAATGAGTTCCCTTTTCTTGCAGAAGATGAAGGCAATTCTGTGTAAAATCGGTGTCTCTTACTGGTCCATCCCGTGTGCTGACGTCAGGCGTGGAAACGTCCTGCATGGAAACGTCCCGCGGGACTGATTCAGAGCTGGGAACACCCCACGTCAGCCCAGCTTTCTGGAGATGGTCGCACCGTGGACGGGCCTGGCCGGTTGCCATCAGCACGCGGGAGATGGAGCCGGGGAGAAAGGCCGGAGGCCTGGGCGGAAGGACTGTGTCCCCCTGTCCTCTGTCTCCGAGGAATGGAAGCTCGGCCCTGAGGTGTCTCTGTTATGAACAGAAAATCATTTTGGGGCGCCTGAGTGGCTCAGTGGGTTAGAGTCTCTGCCTTCGGCTCAGGTCATGATCCCAGGGTCCTGGGATGGAGCCCCGTATCGGGCTCTCTGCTTAGCGGGGAACCTGCTTCCTCCTCTCCCTCCTGCCTGCCTCTCTGACTACTTGTAATCTCTGTCTATCAAATTTAAAAAAAAAAAAAAGAAAAAAAATCATTTTAATCGGAATTCAATTCACATCAGTGGATTTTTGTGGTGGGAGTTTCCAGAACAAAACTGAATTGCCCATTTTCTTTTCCTCACCCATTTCCTATATAGCCCAGTGAAACCATTTCCTAATTGTTGCATTTTTTTTTTTATATTAACAGCCATTATTTCTGCCAACTTCAATTTACCTCATTTTAGTCTTAATCTTATTCTGTGGGGACTAGTTTGTCTCCAGTTTTTCCCCGTTACCCAGTCACAGTGTCCCCAGCATCAAAACTTGAGCAGCTCAGGCCGCCTTCCCCTCAAAGTCACCTCCAAGCTCTGAGTGTCCCTCTGCCCTGCCCTTCCACCCCAGCCTCTGCCACACTCAGCAGCCACCCCCTGCAGCTCCCCCCCAGCCCCACGAGCACCGCAGCCCCGGCGGAGAGCTTGCCGTGGGGACTGCTTCCAGCCTTCCGTGTCCAGCAAGGCATGAAGTCCACAGAGCCCCGAGGAGCAGCACTTGTTCTGGAGGTGGGGAACGGTCTGCCTGTGTCCCTCTGGGCCTGGCAGGGTGCCAGGGACACAGGAGAAGGAGCGCAGAGCAGTCATGGCTCAGAGCTGCCCCTATGTTGACTGAAGCCTCAATAGGCCTCATCTCCTGGGACTCGCCCACCACCCTCCTGGGCCAGTGACCACCTCACGTCTTGCAGCATCGCACACACGGTCACAGCTCGTGTCCGGTCAGGACGCCACGCCGTCTCTCCCACAGAGACTTGCCAGTCAGTCAGCGGAAGGGGGGGCGAGGCTTCCACGCGCCCGCAAGCTCCTGCCGCCTCTGCCCACGCTGCAGGGCCCGAGCCACTCTGCCAGGCCAGAGGGACCCGGGAGGGCGAGAGCTCCAAACACAGGCTGTTTCAGTCTTTGATTTCCAAGAAATCTAACGAAAGCCTCCCCACAATGAACTGAGATTTCCACTCAACACCTTGAACCTGTTCTTGCTTGGATTTGGACCCAGAGAGCACTTTGGCTCAAAGATCTTTGCTTCATATCTGCTTTTCCACTTGTCCTCATTCTTTTGAAAAGTGCTTTAGACTTTTGAACACAGTATAAACCAAGACAGTGTGATTCCTGTCGTGGAATCTATGTCAACATTTCCGAATAACAAAAATCAGGTGGGGACGAGATTTCCCAAGCATTCCCGTGGAGTGGGGTCACCCATGTACGAGAAGTCTGTGTGCCCCTCACTGCATCGCACCATAACTGCCACATTTTAGAGCACTGTTGGGGGGTGACTTAAATTATAGGGTCCACACAGATACGGGGCCACCCCAAAATACCCTGCAGCCGTAGCTTGGCAACTCTCCCACAAGACCCACATGAGGCTGCTCGGGAGATCAGGACCGAGCCTCGATTCCAAGGATGAGCCCCCAAGGGTCACGGGGGCACCCCCCCCAAGCACGAGGCCCGAGACACCAACCACCTGCTTCCCAAAGGAGCAGCTACAAAGTAGCCCCTTGGGAGGGCTTCTTTAACTGCCTACTTTCTAATCAGACCTTTGGATTTGCATCCCTGCCAGCCCCCTCGCAGACCACCTCCTGCAGGAAGGCCCCCGCCTTTCCATGAGCTGTGCACATGCAGGAGCCGTCTTGCCCTGTGGTTTCAAGTAGTCCTACGAAACCTTGCTCTATGCCCACAGCTCAACACAGTGCAAGGCACAGGGAGGATTCCCAGTGGATCCTTAATAATAGCAGAACGTTTCATTCCTAGGGACTAAGTCTGCGAATCAGAGAACACGGGGAAACAGATACCAGCTGCCTTGTATTCCATTTAATGAGATTCTTTTGGTTTCTCACCATTTTAAAAACTGATGGCTTTGAACACACCGGCCAGTGAGCCCTGGCTTTCCTCCTGGCATTGGCTTTGATCATCCTACAGGCTGGGTCCTTCTCCCTCTGGGTCCTCATGCCGCACAGATGCCAGCACTCCTCGTCACCCCTCAAACTACCCGAGTGTCTTTTTCAGGAGAGCCTTCCTGCACAACCTAACCTAGAGTTGTCCCTTTGTTCTAGTCTCCTAAAGTACTCTGTTTTAATTACAATTTTAATGAAGTAATTGATACCCTTAATTAACGCAGGCACCGCACACTCAGGGACGATCAGTGAGTGGAGGTAGGAGGCGAGAGAGAGTGGTGGGGACTGAGGAGAGCGCGGCCACCCAGAAGGCCTATTGGACTCCAGCAGAGAACAGCCCAGTGTGATCAGATCATCCCTATTTTGAAAGGAAGCCAAAAACCATGGTTTTAAAAGTCGAGTCCCTCCCAACATCTAAAAATTGGCAAATCATCATGTTTAGGAACAATGCAGACAAAACCGAACACGCCAGCAGCTCCCAGTCTGTGGCCTCTGGTGTCATCTCTCCTCTACTCGGCTCTTGGGCCGACAGTGACATGTGCTGGGGGGACCTGCTCACCATCATGTCTGGATTCAACAAGCGAGAAACAGAACTAGGTGAGGGCCTCTCCCGGGAGTCAGAAAGAATGTTCTGGTAAGGAGCTGGCGTCCCTCGGTGCCCGTCCTCCCGCGCTCACTGTGCACCTGACGTTTCTCCCCCTCCCTTTAAGCCTTGCTCCTGGACAACCACCCCTGGGAGCCTCCTCCTCTGACCGGAAGTCATCACAATGGGCTCTGTGACATCACCAATGGCCTGGCCCCAGGCACCCAGTCTCCAGGTGCGCAGGCAAACAGACCCACCATGAGCAACTTCGTCCCCCATCTCGGCTCACCATGCGGACGCTAACATGGTTCTTGTTCTTGCCTCTGTGCCTCTGCTGCGGCTACGCCTTTGTGTTTTCTCCTCTGCGAGAGAAAGTCAAAGAACCCCAGGGGAAGGTGCCTTGCGGAGGGCACTTTCGGATCAGGCAGAATCTCCCAGAGCATGCCCCAGGCTGGCTTGGGAGCAAATGGCTCTGGCTCTTTTTCGTAGTTGTGCTGTATGCGATACTGAAGTTTCGAGGAGATAGTGAAAAGAGTAAGGTAAGGACGGCCCCATTTCCTCCCCCGCTTCTGTCTCAGGTCAGGCTCGGAGGGACACGCGTGCTAGTCCTTATAGGCGGGGCCTCTCAGTAGAACGAAGTAGGCTGCGAGGCACCTGCCTGGTGGTCCTGCGACATGTGGGCACATTCATTTCCTGGTGTGTCCTTAGGGAAATGGTCCCCAGACCCTCAGGGGTCAGGGCTAGCGGTTGAAGACGACCTTCCACTTATTAGCTGATTAAAAGCTTGGCTTGATATTTATCCTAATTTTTTTAAAGATTTTTATTTATTTGACAGCTATATATAGAGAGAGAGCACAGGTAGGCAGAGAGGCAGGCAGAGGGAGAGGGAGAAGCAGGCTCTCTGCTGAGCAGGGAACCCAATGTGGGACTTGATTCTAGGACCCTGGGATCATGACCCGAACTGAAGGCAGCCGCTTAACCAACGGAGCCACCAGGCGCCCTGCTATTTATCCTAATAAATGAGATTTTTTCTAATGAAGGAGAGATTTAAGAACTTGGTGTGTCTCAGGTCAACATAATTCGCAGACAGATTCACTCCCCCTGATTCTTAACTTCCCTAAAAGAAATTCTTTATTTCCTCTTATTGTTGTTTTTTTAAATTCTTTATTTTTTACAAGTTGCCAAACTGATGGAAATGGTGTCATTCTTCCAGGTAAGGAAAAAGACCTGTCGTGAAGGGATAAAAGTGTAAAGAAGTAGCAGCTCCTCAAAGTGACTGAACAGTCCTCAGATGGGAAAAGGGAGAGAAATACGGCATGTTTTCTGCTAGATATCCCAACACTTCATCCCTGTGTCCAAACTGAGAGCGTAGGGGTTGGCAAGCCTTTTCTGGAAAGGACTGGAGAGTAGCTATTTTCAGCTTTGCAACATGTACAGTCTCTGTTGCACGGATCCAACTCTGCCATTTTAGCCTGAAAGCAACCTTAATGTAATGCGCAAAAAAATGAGCAAGGCTGTGTTCCAATAAAACTTTATTTACAAAAACAATTGGTGGGCCAGACTGGGCCATAGTTTGCCAATCCCTGGGCTAGAGTGCAGTGTGAGAACCATCTTTTCTTAGGGGAGCCCGACTCTTGGAACTGTGTCAAAACCAACAAAAGCAACCATATTATTCACCCTGAGTATCTTTCTTGACAGGAGCAGAATCCTTCTGCCCTTCGAAGCTGTTCATTTCGCTCTCCACTAAAGAAAAATCAAAATGCTTCCCCCAACAAAGACTATGCGTTCAATACCTTAACCCAACTGGAGATGGACCTTGTGAAATTCGTGTCCAAGGTGCGGAATCTGAAAGTAGCCATGGCAACCGGCACTGGCCTCAAGATTCAGAACTTGGAGGTACCTGCAGACCCACACAATAATATCACCATCTATGAAATATGGGGCGAAGAAGACTCGGAATGAGTGGATTTGTGTGTCAGAGTAGGAGAGACAAAGTTGAGTGTTGACAAACCATATGCAAACCAATAAAACTATTCTGAAGAAAAAGAATTCTCCAAGTTGGCACCTTTTTTTTTTCTTTTTTTTTCCTCCTTTTTTAAAATGGAAGAAAAAAAAATAAATGGGAAGCCAGTGACCACAGCAGTTACTCTTGTTTTTGCCTTCTTCACCAGCCCCAGCGCAGTGAGTGGTGAGGAGAGCACAGAGAGCAACATGGTAACAGAGGCAGCCTTCTCAGCGGTCATGCCCCGGCCCTGGGGGGCGATTAGGCTTAGGAAATTTGGGATAAGATGTAGATACCATATTCATAGTAGTTACCTTTATAGTAGCGGTTTGTGCAAAAGATGGAGCCAATTTTTATCTTTATAATTTATTACAAAGGCCAACTTTAATTATAGGTTTAAAAGGAAATGATTGAATTAAGAGGGTGCGTGTGTGTGTGTGCGTGTGTGTGCATAGGTCCGGGAATGGTGGATTCTAGAAACATTTGATTTTCTTCTCACCAGAAAAGTGTTTTTATTCGTTCTGTCTTGTGCATGAGATGTATTGACTTTTTCTTCTACCAGATGTCTAGTTGGATTAAGAAATAGAGAATAGATCTGTATTTTCAATGGAATTTGGATACAGATGAGCTAACCAGGGCTTCCCAAAGTAGTCGATAAGAATGTTTATAACGGGGCGCCTGGGTGGCTCAGTGGGTTAAGCCTCTGCCTTCCGCTCGGGTCGTGATCTCGGGGTCCTGGGATCGAGTCCCGCATCGGGCTCTCTGCTCAGCGGCGGGCCTGCTTCCCCCTCTCTCTCTGCCTGCTTCTCTGCCTACTTGTGATCTCTCTCTCTGTGTCTAATAAATAAATAAAATCTTAAAAACAAAAGAATGTTTACAAAGCATGTTTAAACTGGGACATTCTGGTATGTTACTGCTGCTGATGGGAGCTACACTCACGCTTAAATTAGCTTTACCAACCCCCAGTCTAGGTCAGCGGGCAGCCCTGCAGACACACAGGTGCGAGCCTGGAGAAGACATGGAAGGCCCCTGTACCTACCTGAGTCCGTCTTGTGTGTGGCTGGCAGAAGAGTCCGGAATCTCCATCTGGGAATTCCTGTCTGGGCAAAGTCTTCAGGCTCTGTCCCATGCGTGTGTAGGAGTCAGACCTCAGACCAAAGCCGCCGGCCCCTTCCTCCCCGTCTTGTCTCTCCTGAACACTAGACTCCTGGTCTTGACTTAACAGGATGGGGAAAATGGCAGGAGTTGAGTTGTGCCTTCAGTATTCTGAGTAGTTCAAGCAAATGGGACTGTGTGAATTGTCTTCCCAGCACACTCAGAGGCACCAGATATTGCGGCTGTAATCTCTGATCCCAACATGGTGTAGACGTTAGATGAATGGAGATCATCTAAAAGGCCAGGGAGACAACAAACCCTGGGTGACGGGCCCAACCCAGCCTGCTGCCCATTTTTATTTACACTACCCACGAGCTAATAAGGGCTTTTCTATTTTTAAGTGGTTGAGAAAAGAGGAGTAATATTCCATGACATGGAAGTGACATGAAACTCAGACTTCAGTGTCCATAACGTTCATTGGCACCCGGCCGCTCACGTTCACGTCCAGACTGCCTGTGGCTGCTTCCGTGCTCATGGGCAGGCTTGAGTTACTGCAACACAAACGCGATGGCCCACAGAGCTGAAAACACTGACTGACGGCCCTTTATGGGAAGTTTGCCAACTCTTAGTTTATGCTAATCTTATTTACATGCTAACAAGCAGGGAGAGCGTTCAAGGGAATCAGATCTATTCAGCTGTAAATGTCACAAACCTCCCACGTTTGTCTGCTAGGCGAACGTGGAATTTTATAAATCACAGTTTTTGTAGTCCCGTCCTGGTCACAAGCAATGAAAGACGGGGTTGGGGGGTTGGGGGGGGCAGGGAGGCGGCATGTAAGAAAATGCAGAGAACTTTGCAATTTCCTTAGAGCAAGGTGACCAAAGCTATACATTATTAGAACAAAATCTGTGCGTTTGGATGTAGCAATTTCTATTAAATCATGTCCCCGAGTCTTGGCCTAGCCTCCTGCAGGGCTCTGCAGACCACAGTTTGGCCTGGAGAACAGTGTTTTCTGAACCCAGTCAATTGTATGCAATGTTTTCCTGCAAAAATGCGTTCGATTCTCGATCTAGAGCTTAAACTACTGAAATCTGTTGTTCTAGCATAAATTCAATTCCTCCTGTCACCACACTCCATGGTTTCAGAAGAGCAGTTGACAGGCCCTGGGTAACCGCTAGCTCTCTGTGGTCACCTGGGAGGCTGGGAGGTGAGGAGTAGTGGGGGGAGGGGCGCACACAGTGGTTTGCTCCCTCCAGGCCAGCGGGAGGAGGAAGACCCAGTCTCACAGGACGGAGGGTGATCCAGGAGTGGCCGCTCTCACATCAGCTACTGGTTAGAAACAAGTCCCTCGGGGGGGGGGGGTGTTACACCCAGTGTGAGCGCCCGGACTGGGGCCCACGCCAGACCCCGCGGCAGAGAACAGGGACTAATGAAGAAGTGGGAGGCCCGTCGGTGCCCCCCTTGGCACGGTCATCCGCAAGGCCTTTCTCCTGTATCTGGGCGGGGGTGGGGGGGGCAGAACCCTGGGGGTCCCCTGGGGCACCCAGCCCCGTGTAACCAATCTCTCTCTCAAATGACTGCGACGGAGCGGTCAATGCCATGATCACAGCTCTAGGTGACCCTTGGATTTCAGCCCCAACGCCCTGACCCGTACTCCCAGCCCACAGAAGCTGGGAGATAAGGAATGTGTGTTGCTTTAAGCCACTCAGTTTGTGGTAATTTATTGACGGAATTAGAAAACAGTAACACGGCGCGTGCATGCACACACACACACACACACACACACACACACCTGCCGGATCTCTCCATGTGCCGCTTCCCGGGCCTGCGTGACCTTCCCTCTGACCCAGGCACCGGCCTCTGAACCCTAGAAGTGGGACCAAAGGATTATGGGCAGCGGATCAGGAACAGGGGTATCCAGGGGCCCAGGTGGCTCCGCTGCCTTCGGCTCAGGTCATGATCCCGGGTTCCTGGGATGGAGCCCTGCATTGGGCTCCCTGCTCGGCGGGGGCCTCCTTCACCCTCTCCTTCTGCCACTTACTCACTCACTCACTCACATAAATAAAATCTTTTTTTTTTTTTAAAGATTTTATTTATTTAACAGACAGGGATCACAAGTAGGCAGAGAGGCAGGCAGAGAGAGAGGAGGAAGCAGGCTCCCCGCTGAGCAGAGAGCCCGATGTGGGGCTCGATCCCAGGACTCTGAGATCATGACCTGAGCCGAAGGCAGAGGCTTTAACCCACCGAGCCACCCAGGCGCCCCCATAAATAAAATCTTTTAAGAAAAGGGGGGTAGGGCGTAACAGTGGTAGGAAAACAAACGCAGGGACCCGGCATTGGGACGGTGTGTGTGAAACGTTCTGGGCCATTTTGCCCCCCGTGGAGACTGGTGCACCTGCCCCCACAACCAAGAGACAGGTCTGTGGCAGCCCGGAGACCTCTGCCCATTGCCCCTCGCGTGGGCTCCAGAATTGCCCCCATCACCAGCCGGGCACCCGAGCTTCTGTTTCCATCTCTCAGATGCCGTCATTTGGAGGGTGTCGGTGAGTACGGAGACGTACTGCATATGCGACCTTTGAGGCTGGCTTCTCCACTCTGTGCCGCGCCCTGCGTTCCCTGCGAGCGGGTCTCTGTGCCGGCGCTCCAGGCACATCTCAGCATCTGAGTGCCGAGGGACACTTTGGTCATTTGCGGGCTCCAGCTCTTACCAACAGGTCTGCTACGGAGGATCGTGCCATAGGTGTTCGTGTGGGCGTGCATTTTTATTTCTTGGGGATTTCTGCACAGATTTATGCCAGATCTCGTGGGGAAGGCTGTGTTTTGGCCCCCAGTAAAATGCATATGACTTTGGATGCGTGGCCAACATTTTACAATGAGATTCCACATTATATTCTGGTGAGGGCCACGCAGTAAATCAAAAAGTCTGATGAAACACACATAAACACTACAGGAGTTGCAGCGGTCCAGGACGCATCCCCTCTGGGCTGTCCCAACAGACTCCCAGGAGCATCCCACCTACCACTGAGCCCTGTCACCCAGCTCCTTCCAGCTATGCCATACCAAGCCTGTTTCTGCCTCAGGGCCTTTGCACATGGCCTCTCTCCCTATCGTCAGTCTTTCCACCAGATGCCACAGTGCTGGTTGCCATGCTTGTCATTCTCACCTTTGCTCAGAGGGTTCCTGGCTCAGAGAGGCCTTCACTGACCACCTGGTGATCTCCCTCTGCGACCCTAGCTACCTCATCCACTTCCGTGTGTTTTCTTTGCAATACCATCACTGTGTGACATTATGCTTTTTATCGAGCTATTTCTTCCTGGTCCCCTGGAACGTGAGCTCCATGAGGTACAGGAGTAGTGTCGGCTGTGGTGACTGCGGTGTCCTCGGTGTCTGGAACAGCGCCGGCACGTAACGGGAGCTCCATCCGGATCTCGGAAAGCCTACTTGGAACTCATTCCAGATTTAGAAAAAACAAGAGCACAGAGAGTTCTCCGACGCCCCTCCCCCAGCGCCCCCGAATGTTGGCCGCTCAGGTAACCAGGGTAGAATCGTGACATCCCAAAGCTGTAACATGGGCGCAACACTGTGCACTAACTAATGTGGATTTCACTTCATTCCTCTCTGTTCCAGGATCCCAGCCAGCGGCCCACGGCGCATGCAGCCATCCCACGTTAGTGGAACAGTCCCCAGGCTCGCCTGTGCTGCCCTTGGCAGTGGAGAAGATAGCGATCGGCTGTTCTGTGCAGTGTCCCTCCGTCGGGGTTGAACGACGCTTGTTTCCTCACGATGGGGATGAGGTTATGCCTTCTCGGCAAGAGCACCAGAGACTTGGTGTGGTGTCCCGGTGCCTGCATCCCTGCACTGTTCATACTGACCTTCATCGTTTGGGTAGAGAGGCACCTGCTGCTGCTTCACTGTGAGCTAGAAACACCTTAAAGGATGCTCTGAGTCTACACCAATCGGCCCCTCAAGCTTT